GACACATCTCCGGAGTCAGATTTTATGCCGTGTCCTCCTTTCGTTTCAGGGGTTCCTGGTGGCCTTGCAGTATGGTTTTGCCAGTGGAGAGGTATGATTTCCATGTTGCCATCCTGGTTGCGTGTGAGGCTGGGGCTGCAATCCTGCCACCTCTGGAGGTTGCTGTGGATGTGATGGTGCTCTGGGGGAACATGCAGTGACCAGCTTGTGTGGGGACAAATTTGTATTGTGAGCTTCCAGTAGAGAGAGCAGGGGGCAGCTTAGACAAATGGAAAAAAAGGTGTCGGATGAGTATAAAGGAGTTCAGACCCCAGCACTGGCCCTGCTGAGATGCAAGGAATATTCAAGTGTGACACAGGAAACAAGCTTGAACCTCGGAGTCCAAAAATCTGAATTCACGTCTTGGTTCACCCTTAGGAGCTCTGTGAGTTAGCTGGGTTGCTGCACTTCGTTTAGCCTCACTTTCCTGATCAGTAACATGGAAGTAACAATCATCCCTGCTTTGTAGTCTTGTCCTGGGTATGCTGAGCACATAGTAAATGCTCAACACCTAGAAACTATGATTACATTTAAAAAAAAAATAGTTTTTTTTTTTTTTGAGACAGAGTCTCGCTCTGTCACCCAGGCTGGAGTACAGTGTCGCAATCTCAGCTCACTGCAAGCTCTGCCTCCTGGGTTCATGCCATTCTCCTGCCTCAGCCTCCTGAGTAGCTGGGACTACAGGCTCTTGCCACCACGCCCGGCTAATTTTTTGCTCAGCTAACTTTTATATTTTTAGTAGAGATGGGGTTTCGCCATGTTGGGCAGGCTGGTCTTGAACTCCTGACCTCAAGTAATCCACTCACTTCAGCCTTCCACAGTGCTGGGATGACAGGCGTGAGCCATGGAGCCTGGCCTATTATTACTTTTAGTTATTCATATTATTGCATAGCCCAACCAGCTCTCTGCTTCCCTGGGAAAAGGTTTGATAGTGGGAGGGGCAGAGGCCAGTGTCTTCTCCTGTCTTTAGGAGTTGGTAGAGTTTCCAGTCCCCTTTCAACCTCCTCTTGCCCTACTACAAGTATAAATATTTACTTCTATCTCCTCCTACTAGAATGTAAGCTTCTTGACAGCAAAACCATCTTCTGTTTTGTTCACTGCTGCTGCTTCTGTATCTTCACGCAGGGGGCTCCTTACCCGTCAAGCAGGTTTCAGCTCACATGCCACCCTGGCAGAGTCCTTTCCTGAACACCGTATCTTAAGTTTTTGTTTCTTTACCACATTGTCCTGCTTAATACTCTCTCAGTGTCATTACCACCTGATATATTTATGTATCTTTGTTTCTCCTTGTGTCCCCCAGTTACAAGGTAAATTTCCCAAGGGTGGCACAGAGTAGCTTCTCAATTAATATTTGCTAAATGGACACATGGCTAAATGACTCCAAGACGGTAACCTCTCCCTTGTCTCACCCGGCAGGTGAAGGCTGAGCTGCGGAAATACTGGGTCCGCTTCCTGCTAGCCCGCCATGCAGGCTGCAGAGCCTGTGTCCTGGGGAAGAACTTCCGGTTCCTGGGAAAATGTCCCAAGAAGCTCTCGGAAGGAGATGGCGCTGAGAAGCTTCGGACGCTGCAGCCCTCGCTTAACAGTGGGCGGTTCCTACACCTAGCCATGCGAGGTCTGGGGGAGCTGGGCTCCCGGCCTCAACAGGACCATGCACGCTGGCCCCGGGGCAGCAGCCTGTCTGAGTGCAGCGAGGGGGATGTCACCATGGCCAACACCATGGAGGAGATTCTGGAAGAGAGTGAGATCTAGGCTGGAGTTCCACCACGCTGGCTCTGCTGCCAGGGACTCTCGAGAGGGCCCAAGAAGAGGAAGCAAAGCGGACACACGTTGCTGGGCACGGACTCATTCTCGTTCCATTCGCCATGCCACCTTGATGTGAAGGCTATCACAAGGTTCTTCAAGCTCTGTATGAAAGAGGCTGTGTGTCATGCTCACAGCCTCTGCCGGCTCAATAACCCCCACGAGGGTGTTCCAGAATGCCCACCAGACCCTAGAACCAGGCTCTAAATTCAAACCAATGAAGCGCCACCATGAAGAGAGGTCTCCTGTTACATAGAAACCAGCCAGTATCTCTTCCTTTACCCCTCAGGATGCATGCTTTCCATCTGAGGTTGGGTTTAGGGTGCATGAGAACCTTCCTAGGAAGCTTTTAAAATGCAGAATCCTAGACTTGTGGCTAAGATTCTAAGACAGTGAGTCTGGGACAATGGCGAGGAATTGGAGCTGTTGAATAAGCATCCCAGGTAATTCTGCTGTAAGCCCACCCTTGGCGAACACTGGACAGGGTGGGAAGGAGCTAGAAGCACCCCCATGTGGCCATGGTAGGATGCTGCAAGAGACGTTCTGCTCTCCCAGCTCAGCTGGGGTGTGCCTGCCCTCCATGGACAGTGTGTAACCCCATGTCACCCGCGGGAGTGCCGCTCCTCTCTGCTCTTCCTCTCCTATTGAGTTTTGCGCCTCTCTTGCCTGGGGACCCTCTGAATGTCGTCTTTGGTCCATTCCTCTCCTTTCTGGCTCTATCTACCTTTCTGAGGTTGGCTTCTACCAGCCTGATTTACACTACCATCCTCCTGGGGCAAGGAACACCCCCACCATTTTTGGTTTGCCATTGATGCATTGATGGTCACACCTGCTGTCCCAGGAGGTTGACCTATAACTCTCCATGGCCAGAGTCCCTGCTGATCAGAATTCTGTTTGCCCAGTGGGAATAAATGCTGAAAGCAGGAGGGTCCAGGTAAAGCAATAGGACTCTGGCTGGATCTGGACATGCCCGGGGCGGCACTGAGAGATCTAGGACTTCACATCCACCAGCCTGTGGGACCTTTCCTGCCTACTGTGACCCATGGAGGCTGAGGAGGGCCCAGGCAGTTGGGGTCAGGCTCAGTGACTGAAAGTATAAGGCAAGAGGCTGTAGGAAGATCAAGGGAGGGACATCCTTTGGAAACAGTGTGTTAACGCACAGGAGTGTCGCTTTCATGGTATGTAAAATGCATGTGTACGTGGGCGGGGTATGTTGCTGTGGGACTAAATACCACCTTATCTTTGGGGGAGTCAGTATGATACTCCTCAAGCAGGGCTGCCATATTTAGCAAACAAAAACATGATACTCAATTACATTTGAATTTCAGACAAATCGTCTTCTTGTATAAGTATATCCCATGGGCATTTTTAAAAAAATTTTTTATTATACTTTAAGTTCTAGGGTACATGTGCATAACATGCAGGTTTGTTACATATGTATACTTGTGCCATGTTGGCGTGCCGCACCCATCAACTC